CAAATGCAAAGTGCACGGGAGAGAGATCTTCGATGGGAATGAAGGGATGGCAACCGAGGTATTCGTTACGGGGGCATGACTGCAGGGACATATCATCGTCACCCTCTGCTTCTCCCATCCCGAAGGACCCTAGCTACGGCTTGCCTGTGGAAAGGATCAGAAGCAACTATGGGGAGGAGGAGACCTCAAGCTCGGAGGCGGATCAATGGGAATCATGTCATATAGACGAGCAAGCTAGGGAGGATTCCGAGGAGGAAAAAGGGAGAGGGGGGGAGGATGAAGCTGGACGACAATCAAAGAAGCAAGAAAACAGTAGAGTGGCGGAAAATGAACACGAATCTAGGCAAGAAGGGGGACAACAATTAGAGCAACAGGAAGCACCCACAGTGGCCTCGGAGGGCGGATCAGGGGAGTCGGCACGAGTCACCGAGAAAAGAAATGGACTGCAAAGGGACCCGCTGATTGACTTGGCACGACAAGAGAGGGCGGAGTCCGGACTGGTAACCATCTTGCGAGAAGGGGAGTGTTACGTATGCTGCGGACTGGTAGGGCACGTGTGGCATTAGGAGCCGAAATGGCAGGTGCAAATGCAAAGTGCACGGGAGAGAGATCTTCGATGGGAATGAAGGGATGGCAACCGAGGTATTGGTTACGGGGGCAGGACTGCAGGGACAGATCACAGTCACCCTCGGCTTCTCCCATCCTGAAGGACCCAAGCTACGGCGTGCCGGCGGAAAGGATCAGAAGCAACTATGGGGAGGAGGAGAAGCTCAGAGGCGGATCAATGGGAATCACGTCATATAGACGAGCAAGCTAGGGAGGATTCCAAGGAGGAAAAAGGGAGAGGGGGGGAGGATGAAGCTGGATGACAATCGAAGAAGCAAGAAAACAGTAGAGTGGTGGAAAATGAACACGAATCTAGGCAAGAAGGGAGACAACAATTAGAGCAACAGGAAGCGCCCCCAGTGGCCTTGGAGGGCGGATCAGGGGAGTCGGCACGAGTCACCGAGAAAAGAAATGGACTGCAAAGGGACCCGCTGATTGAGTTGGCACGACAAGNCTTGGAGGGCGGATCAGGGGAGTCGGCACGAGTCACCGAGAAAAGAAATGGACTGCAAAGGGACCCGCTGATTGAGTTGGCACGACAAGAGAGGGCGGAGTCCGGACTGGTAACCATCTTGCGAGAAGGGGAGTGTTACGTATGCTGCATCACGTTGTGGAGATTGTCGCAAGGGGTCAAGATGCTCATGAATGGATTAGCAGAAGTACCCGTGTTCAGCGTTAACAAGCTCCCTCAGGAACAGCGGGTCCTCAAGCATGTGCAACAATGGGTCGGCCAGAAGTATGAAGATGCCACTACCTGGCACGTCGGCACAAAGATTCATTCGACGAACAGCTTAAGGAATTGAATATGTAGTGATATTATACTTCGTCGAAGTCATCCCCAAGAAACCGGGTGTCTGAGACTCTGGGTGAGGAGCGTGCAGTGGGTTACTTTTGATGAGCTCTTTGGTCCTGCAGCACTCTCACAGGACTACCATGTTATCCATTCTATTTCTCTCTCCATCCTCAAAGTATAAATGCATGTTTGTCACGGGAGGACCAGGTGGGGAGGGAGCATATTTTGAAGGGAACTGGGATATGGGAAAAGGGGGACTGAGGGGATATATTATGTAGGGTGTCACAGGGACGATGACACCCCCCCATCTATAAGAAAGGGATTGTGAATTTGGTGATGGTAGGAACATAAAATAGATAGGGCGATACTGCGAAAGGAACAATGCAGGAAAGTAGACATTGTAATTGGCTGCGATTCATGACATGGAACATTAGGGGACTGCGGGCGAGATCGCTACTTCATAAGCGGAGGGAATTGGCAGCAACGGTGAAAGCACACCAGATTGATGTAGTCTGCCTTCAGGAGACAAAGCTGAATAAAGGCAAGACAACTCAGCCGGCGCTGTGGTGGAAGGGCCATCAGGTTTGGGCCCCGGCGTAGAGCACAAAAGGTAGGGTCTTTATCCTGGTGTTACATGCTGCGCCTGCACACGGGCCCCATTTGAGGGGCCCGAGAGTCGCTGAGGGGCCCCCAGACCGCAGATTTCGAATATAGGCGGCATTTAATTAAATATTTATTTATTTACTTACCTGCTGTCCTACGTTGGTCTGTGCAGACATCGTTTCGGACTTGCAGTCCCCAAGGCACGACCATGGGACTGGGTACACCAGAGGCAGGGCCTAAAGAGGCCAGGCGCGTTCTTGCGCCTTGCTGCATCAGCAGCACAGTCTGGACGCCCAGTAGGGACTCAGACCGGCTGGGCCATTTTGAGGCGAGCACCAGGCAGGCCCAGCCTCGCCCAGCGCTACATATAACTGGGCAGCGGCTGGGCAACGGACAGTTCGGTAGCTCACTTCTTGAGCGACACGCTGCTGGATGGAGGCTGCGCTATTTTGGGCGCTGCGCTGCAAGGCTGGAAGGAGAGGCATCGGTGGGAGTGAGAGGGGGAGGCCATACCTGTAGTGGCGAACTTACCTGGCGCCATAGCTGGGATCTCCACGCGGTACCTGCACAGGACAACCACGGCAGTCAGTATGGCAGCCGTTACCTGCAGGTGAGGCAGCGAGGAGGGTGACATCTTCTTCTTCCTTCTCGCCCTCCATCTCTCCTCCGTGTTCCTCCTTCCTCCTCCTCCATCTTCTTCTTCATCTTCTTCTTCTTCAGATACGAGAGTGATAGAGGTTAAAGGCAGAGGATACAGGCAGAGGCCACAGTGGGCATTGTGCCCAGGATCTGATTCGGCGTTTCTGAGGCAGACATTGATTGGACATCGGCAAGGGACTATTTTTGGACTTCACTATTGCGATCTTGGTCTTATCCCCCGCCTCCATCTTCGTCTCTCCTCTTCCCCCCATCTCTCATCTGTGGTACCTCCCCATGTGCGTGTACAAGGAGGGACCTTTCTTCTTTGTGTGCTGTCCCAGGACTTATTTTAAAGTCTTCCACTGCGCTACTATGTGCCATTTTGTATGTATCAGGGTGTACATTGCTTGTTGATGTTCCACTGACATTGCATTGTCCTTACAGTCCTTTTCATCACATTGCGGATCCTTGGCTCTACCTACATTGCCCAACTGGGCATGTATCAGTCGGTATCGGAGCCCCACTCGTGAATCAGGACAATCTGATGTGACCCGTGTGCGGGGACCATCGATTGATTAATCGATTGATTGATGGATGGATGGATAGATGGATGGATGGATGGATGGATGGATTGATCGATTGATTGATTGATTGATCATTGATTGATTAGGTCATTGATTGACTAATTGATTGATTGATTGATTAATTGATTGATTGATTGACTGATTGATTGATTGATTGATTGATTAATTAATTAGGTCATACTAATTAGTCCCCAAAATCACGAATTTTTTTGACCTAACTGCCAAATCGAACTTTTTTCTTTTTGGATTTCGTTTTTTTTTAGCACTACTTTCGTTTGTGGGAAATCGCAAAATCCGAAATAGCACAGCATCTGAAATTTTTGATTTTCGTTTTCTTTTGAAATTCGAAATTTCGTTGTTGAGAAATCTGGAATATTTTTACGGAAATTTTGGATTTGTATTTCCTTTGGCAATTTCCCGTTATTTCGAAAATTCCAAGAAATTTTTGGGAATTTCCGAAATTCGTTATTGTCAAGAGTCAAATTTTTTTTCGGGAAGTCCCTCTTGCAGTTACTGTTTTTGAACTGCGCATACTCCCATCTGAGTAAATCCAAATATTTTTTTTTGCTTTCGGAATTCTCTGAACTTGCGGGAATATTTTTCACAGGTCCATCATTCTTTAATATCTTTATTCCATACTTGCGGCGCATCGACCCTGTGCGCTGCGCGGAGTGCGGACCCGAGGTGCGCGCGCACTGGCACGCGCCGCACACCTGGGTGTGCGGTGCGCGATGCGCTGCGCACAGGGCTGGTGTGCCGAGCGCGGGTGCGCTGGGGGGTGCGCGCTGCGGGGCCGCATATGCACCAGGTGCGCACAACATATATTTTTTATTTTTATGTTGAACTGAAAGTTGAAACACCCCCACCCACCCACCCACCCCCCCGCCCCCCC